AAAAAAAAAAAAAAAAAAAAAAGCCAGCAGGTAGAGCTGTGGATCAAATGGCAGACCAACAGCCTTGAATGAAAAGCTACAGGATGGTCTCTAGGCCCTGAGTTCAAGCCCCAAGGCCAGCACATGTAAGCATGCACATGTATGTACGCGCACACACACACACACACACACACACACACACTCACACACACACTATATGTAAATAGAGGTGTTTTTTTTGCCAGTCCTGAGACTTGAACTCAGGGCCTGAGCACTGTCCCTGAGTTTCTTTTGTTCAAGACTACCACTCTACCACTTGAGCTACAGCATGATATCTGGCTCTTTCTTTCTTTTTTCTGTCAGTCATGGGGCTTGAACTCTGGGCCTGGGCGCTGTCCCTCAACTCTGCAGTTCGAGGCTAGCACTCTACCACTTGAGTTACAGCACTACTTCTGGTTTTCTGGTGGTTTATTGGAGGTAAGACTCTCATGGACTTTCCTGCCCAGGCTGGCTTCGACCAGTGATCCTCAGATCTCAGCCTCAGGAAGAGCTAGGATAACAGGCATAAGCCACCAGTGCCTGGCTGGATCTTGTTTTCTGTTTTCCCTCGGGATTGGAGAGTGCTAATTCTTGTCTTCAGCACCCTGTGTGCTCTTCATCTGTAGATCTGAAGTGTCACAAGCTCTTCCCTAAACATGAGTGATCATGTCAGCACATGGCAAGCCCTGCATGTGGCAAATGTGAATTGTCACTCATGCCCACTCCTGGCACCCAGCTCAGAGAAAAAGGAATAGCTCTGACGGTTTCCAACACCTCAGCCATGCTGGGGATCCCCCCACCCCCTTGCCAAGCCTTACCTTGATGGGTCTGTGCAGTGCAGGGCGCCTCCAACGTAGTACAAGCAGGCCCAGGACAGTGACGCCGTAGCAGAGGTAGTTGATGAAGGACACGTAGTTGATGAGGGTGTACGTGTCTCCCACAAGCATGATGACTGCCGTGGCCCCGCACTGGGAGAGAAGCTGGGCTGAGGGCTGGCCTGGCACACCCCACCCGGCCCCATCCATCATGGCCCAGTGGCCCATTATTCCCCAGGAAGTCCCTCCCCCAGGAAGTCCCAACCCAACCCTAAGGCCAGGAAGTCCAGGCTTTACATCCTGCCTGACTTGGGTATTCCCTCCCCCCCACTCCATCCCAACTTACACAGACAAGGAGGGCAGGGATAGGGGTACAACGTCTGACATGAATCATGGCCAGCAAGCTGGGTAAGTGGCCCTCTCGGGCTCCAGAGAAACACAGCCTAAGGATGGAGGCAGAAATGGTTAAAGGCCATGAATTTAGGCCTCAGTGCTCCCTGGTGGCTAAGTCCTGTGTCTCAAGTCTCTATCTTATGTCCCTCTGAAGCTATCACCTCTGAACTCCCCTCTATGCTAAGTCCTACCAGCCTTACTGGGCAGTCCTTCCCTTCATCTAGCCTGCTTCCCTCTTGCTTTGTGTGTGTATGTCTGTTGGGGGCTGGCTTTGAGTTGCGATCCTGAGTAGCTAGGATGACAGGCGTGAGCCCCGGGGTGCCCTCCTTGGCCTTCTGGCTTCCTCTATCTCAAAGTTGGGATCAGACACTGGCAGCAGACTCATGGACTCATCATTCTACATTTCCC